TTGGTTTCCACCAGTTTCTTTATCTCATATGATCAACGTTATAGTGGCCTCTGCCTGATTGCTTACTTCAAATGTACATTGTCATGCTACCGTTCTGTTATTTCTATCCAGTCATAAACACCCTCAGGACATATAAAATACAATTTCAATTTTCCTTAACAAAACACTTCCTTTCACACTTATAGATAGGAGCCCGATCCACAGGAGCTCAACATAAAGAGCATCAAACGCATATTTTAACAGAAGACATAGACCCCATTTCCAGAGATTAGATCGATCTACTTTAGATCGACCTAACTCCCTGGGGGTTCACGCTAAATAGCTGTCAGCCGAGCGGACACGAAAGTTAATTACCCCCTTACAGCTTGTAGTAGGCGGGACGGACATTTAAACCGGATTATCTGACAGTAATCTAGTGAGACTCCCGGCGGGGATAGATCGATCTAAAAGCTCTGGGAATTCAGCCATATATAAGATCTTTTCCAGTCTCGTAACCTCTATGGGTGTTCATGTATATATGGGCTTACATGCGTGTTACACACACACACACACACACACACACACACACACACACAGAGAGAGAGAGAGAGAGAGAGAGAGAGAGAGACGTCTTTTTCTCATTTTTTTTTTGTTAAAGCAACAAAACATATATCGCCATATTAACGGAACTTAACAACAGCAGCACTCGATAAGATAGGTTAGGGTTCGGGACTGACAACAGCGAACACAGGTGTGAACGGCTTTTAAAATATTTACTCGTATGTGACACTTGACTGTTATCCTATGCAAATTTGCGAGCAAGTGTTGCAGAGATTTTGGGTCGCTGACGCGTGAGCTGCTTTATTTGACACACTACTCCACAATGGCGACTGGACACTTTTCAAAGTTGAAATTTCATAACAGACAAAGGCATTCCTGCACGGTTCATCTTTACAGTGTAATACCAAAATAAATGTTTGTAGTGCATCGCTGAGTTTCTTAAGTAAACGTTTTGGCATTCACAAAAACAGTATAAGTCACAAGAACCCTCGATAAGCAATACAAAGCTAATCCACAAAGCGTTCATTGTGAGACGAGATTTGCCAACCCTCTTCTAGTGCCCATGACAGCGGCATGAGTGCGAAAAAACGTATGGCAAGCTCCATTTATGTCAAAAATTATTTATATAGGGTAAATGTTGGAACGTTTTATTGTGGCCGTTTCAGACGTTATAGGAAACCATATTTCTCCAGCATGTAATACTTCATTTCACACATCTAAAGTGGACTAACGCCCTAGGGGTCACTCACAAGTTATTTTATGCATGCAAGGTCGAACCTGCAATTAAAAACATTTGGCGTCCAAGGAACACAACACAGTCAGGCTGAGGCCCTTTTATTTCGCAACATTAAAGAGAAACTAATGCCTTGTTATGTTGATCGACCTTTCCAGATTTATTCGGAAGTTCGCCCTCTCTAAAATATAATGAAGACTATTAACTTTAAGTAGGTGATAGCTTCGTCTCCGGTGCACATTTTAAATGGATGAATCCATGATGACAGTTTTAGAGTAACAGCAAGTAAATCAACCTCATTTCCAATGTAAAACCATTTAGATAAAGAGCAATTAAGACCGTTTTCATGAATAAACGTCAGTTATTTATTTCACAGAATTTTGCAAGAGTGATTGTGTATTGTAGCACAGGCAGTCTTAACAAAAGCGTTATGAACCAGGAAAAGATTGTCAAAAGGAGGCCTAGTTACGGATATAGGCTAAGTGGGTTCTATAACGTAACCAACAGGGTTGTTTGACAATTACGAATTCAAGTTTACCAAATAACTAGGCAGGGTTTTCCTCAATGAAAGTACACCAGTTCAACAGACACTACCAGATGTAATATGCATATACAATAAAAGTTTATTTGGTTTTTAAGTTTTGGGTTTTGAAAGCGTGTGTATTTTCATTTCTGCCAGCTCCTCTCCGAGAACATTACCTATTAAAACCTGATTTACGACTAAATGATGGACCTCTTTCTTAACTAAGACTGCTGAACTTTACCTTATTCAATTACTTCGGAAGTGCCATTTCAATGCTATAAAGTTCCCAAAGGTTTTCCCCTCCCTCCCATAACCCGCCATGATGGATCACTGCTTTCGATTTTGACCATCAGCTACCGATCACACCTTAAGCTTTTAATGGCAACGTTATTGAAACGAACTCAGAATTTTCGACAACATAATAAACACATTGTGTTGTACTTCGAATCATATTTCAAATTTCTATTGCTACTCACGATGTTTAGCTCTCTAGACATGAAAACAATTGTCTGAGAACCAAGAGGGGCAGTCGAATTTGGGAACTTACTGAGCATACTGGTACTTTACAGCAAACTTATGTTATTCTATTTTACATTGAACAAAGCAAGAACATGAATCAAGTATAAATTATTCTCCCCAGGCAGCGATTTATAAAACGGTTTTATGCGGATGCTTCGACCATTTTCTCTGCGTAATCAGTCATATGTACAGCTAAATTATGCTCAATTTTTTGCCCCCGAGTTATTAAAGTTAAGAATCCCAATTATAGCGGCTTAACGGTTGACATGTCAGCAACCTCTGAAACCGAGAACCGCTAGTTAGAATATTGCCTTGTGATATTTGTATTGATCAAATGCAGACTTTGGCTTTATTTAGTTTTAATCCACATATATAATTGATTTTTTATAATTATATAACATACACAAATGTACAGTATACATAGTTTATAAACAGGCTTGCAGACTGTTACGACTGGGACAAGCAGTTGCAGTAAAATATATCTTAAAGCTGCTATGACCTTTAAATTTACACGTTTTGTATCTGGAGTGCTTTAAATTTGACAAAACAGTGCTCTTGATGGAAACGGGAATACCTAAAAATAACGCGTGTTTACTAGCACCATTAAATCAAGGTAGACAAGTGCCATTTAACGTCTTCACCGTTCACCTCAATCTTTCAGCTCCTGCGCGTTCTCGATAATTAGAAGATCAAAGAAAGTCACGTTTTTTACGATGCCTGAAATATTTCTAGTTGACCATGGAACAAAAACTCTCTTTACGTGAAACAAAGGAGCCACATCATTTAGTGTTTTTTTTTTCGGAAATTGGGGGTGGGGGTAGGCCTGTATGTTGGAGTGTCAATAGGTGGGTTATACAGCGCAGAACCAATACACGGATTCCTCTGCTTGCAATATTCCTAAATCACTCACCTCTGCAAAAACCGCCCAAAACAATCCCAATTAAAAAAAAATAGTGATATATATATATATATATATATATATATATATATATATATATATATATATATATATATATATATTAAAATTTTGTAGTATATATATAGTAAAATTTTGGTGTGCAGTACACCTTTTGATAGTCTGTTAAAATATGAGACATGGGTCTGCTCGAATCGGGTCTGTCTATGCTCTGGCAGCAAGCGAACAAACTAATGGACATCATGTAGGCCCGCCCAGTTGGCACAGTGAGCTTTTTAGTTTAGACACACCTTTTGAATGGCCGGTAAGAAGTAGATAAGCACAGTCGATCCTTCGTCTTGGGGATCTTCACCTAACGTTAACTTACTAAGACCCAATCTCCATACCTAAATAGATCTAACAGAACCGACCCATCTCCGAGGGGTTTCTCGTTAAATTACATAGAGCTTTATAAAAGCGGCTCTGATGTCTGGCACGCCTACTGAAGCTGTTATAAGGTACTTAAAACTGTCGTTTAGCAGCTTAATCTGAATGCAATTTGGCGAGAATCCCCTCGGAGATGGGTCGATCCTTCTAGATCGAACTAGGTTGTTAATTATCCCCTAACAACTACAGTACTGAAAGTAAATGTGTCGGAAGAGTCATTTGCGACTCACTTGAAATGTATTAGCTCGAGTATGACGTAATAGCAAGGGGAATCCCAGCGCAACAAAGAAACATGAATGAAGCGAACAGCGATCCCATGTTTGATTTTCGGCTATTCTGCAAGTTGGTAGGATCAGTTGCACTTACAGTGAAAACAGATCTATCTTTCACTATTACATTATTTAAAGCTGAAATCAATCCCCAAATCAAATTAACGTTTATGAAACTTCCCCGTCATGGGGAACGTCGTGGGGAATAAACAGTTCGTTTTTTGAAGGGGGGAGGTAGGAGGTCTAAGGGTTTAAATTACAGTGTGGTTTACTATAAATAACATAACAAGTAAATTTTTCTCTTTTTCAGGTTAATAATCATAACATCCATGGCATGAGAAAGAAGCGAGCCGCTGACAACATGATGCAGTGGTCTTCATGGACGGAATGGTCTTCCTGTAGCAGATCGTGTGGAACAGGGGTGGCCAGCAGAGTGCGAGAATGTAAAGATCATGTCAGCAGAAGACACAGGTAGATATATCCTTATATCTATTTAATTTTTTTCAGGAGGGACCCTTTGCTCAGAAACACATTTTTAGTAATCTGAAAAAAAGACCCTAATATCAACCACACTAATATGTTTTTTCCTATAGCTTTCCTAAAAAAACAAGGAACTAAAGATGTTGCCTCCCCTTCGTTGTCTTTGTGCATGTTCCTTCTGCAGAGGTTACCAGATTATAATACAGTTATCAGCCCTGGCTATATTCAGATATTGAAGATTCTAGAACCATTTTTTTTGGGAATAGCTGCTGTCTAGATATTATTACAAAAACTGTATTCCTCAGTAACTGTAACTTTTTGCCTTTATATTGGCCTTTTAGACCCCATTCCCATACTTAGATTGATTGATCTAGCAGAATAGGTCCATCTCCAAGGGGATTCTCGCTAAATTGCACTCTGCTTAAGTGGCTCAGATGTTTGGCACGACTACTGAAGCTGCTAAACGTTATTTAATTACCCCCTTACAGCTTCAGTAGGCGTGCCAGAATCCAATTGGAGATGGACCGATCCCACTAGATAGATCTAGATATGGGAATGGGGCTTAAGATTTATGACAATTTGATTAAGCCTCCATTCACATGGAAAATCTATTTTCTAAAAATCTATTTTCTATTCGTGGTGTCTTGTGATCACGGTCTGTGCCCTGAATACCCCATGGCGTAATTACTGGCAGCGTGAGCCAGTTACTTCCAAAGCTGTAATTAATTCTCGGCTGTGCTCGGAGTGATCACTAGATACCGCGAATAGAAAATAGATATTTAGAAAATAGATTTTTCATATGAACGGAGTCTTATGCAATACCTGATTTAAATAAAAAAAATTTGGGGGGGGGGGGGGGAACAATAAACTTGATTTGTGCCCATTTCAAGTTTGCTGCATGTCAAAAAGTCCATGCCCCTTAATAGTATAAAATAGCAACATTGCAAACTGTGGCATTAAACTGACTTGACAGGTGAGAAAGTTCAGCCTTTAAGATGGTTAAACTTGGTTTTTGTGATAATCACTTGTTTTATGGTGTCAGTTACTGAGTTTGTTTGCCCCCTTCCACAGCACAACCAAATGCAGCCCCACTCCTGAAGATACTAGAACTTTGAAGTCCCTTTTCTTGACCTGCCTTACTATTTGGGACCTTGGTTATAGGTTCCCTTTGAAATAAATAAATAAATAAATAAACAGATAAATATACAGATGGTTATATGAATGTAAAAGTATATGACTTTACAAATGCTTGAATAGATATAGATAAAACAGAAAATAAACTTTTAATATTTTCAGTAATTTCACAGATATTCCTTAAATGTTTCCATATGTTGGCTTTAGAACTATTGACTGCATTTATGCCTTATGATTACAGTGATTTAATCATTTCTTTCATCATCCATGTTATTCTTTTTCAGTTACATCAGATACTACCAAAGACACAAAATGAAATCTTCCTGTGTTGGAAAATACAAAGATTTCAAAACATGCAATACAGATGTAAATATGATTTTTTACATTACAATGGTGACAGCATTAATATGTGTGAAAAACTATGAAGTCTGACTTTAACAGTCATAACAGTGTGACATACTTTAAGGTCCAAACGCAACATTGATAAAGTACAAAATAGTTGTCGAATGCAAATTCTTTATTTAAATATGTGGTATGAAAGTAACTCCTGACATGTTTTTCAGGAATGTCCTAAAAACAGCAAGTCTTTCAGAGCTGAACAATGTGAAAAGTTCAACGTTAAAGTTTTTCATGGTCGCAGGAGATATCGATGGGAACCATATTATCAAGGTAGTATATGTGTCTGACTTGTCTTCCTTTTTTCAGAACTCTGAATAAGAAATAGAGAATATTTTTGCTTTTTAACTGTTGAACTGGTTTCAAAATTATATGTGAGCTTATACTTGGTCAGGTTACATATGGACAAATAACCATATGAACAGAAATTAATGTATTACCATCTCCTGTGGACACAGTGTTCACATGCTTGATGTCTTGTTGCCAAGGAAGCTAAGAGCTCAGTTTTCATGTCATATTATTATTTTCCTGGAGGCTTTCAACATAGTTGTAAGTATGTTTTATGACCTAGATTATTAGGTTAAGTACACCAGTTCACAGGAAATAGGTTGTTGAATAGTTCATACATGGGTGGAGTAGATCACTAACATGTGATCCCTCCATGTCATACCAAGCATTTCATCTTTAGTAGAAGTACACAGTCAAATTATAGAATTACAATAGGTACCTCCCTTCTTTTTAAATTTACTACCATCCCCTCCTTATTAAGCCAGTATGGACCTGTAAAGTAAGCTGCCCTCTAAGTATTAGTTTTTTTTATATTGGTCATTATACTCTTTATCATGTGTGTATTGTGAGTGAGGGGGGGGAAGCACCATACTTGTGTGTTCTGATACAGCTCTCAAGATAGACTGAGGCTTTAAATGAAGTGATGGTGGGTAGGTGCAGGGTTTAAAGGGAAATGTAGAATCATCATCAGCATCATTAATGTATCCTGCTCCATAGCATTGTCAGTCCTCTCCACATGTACCTGTATCTGTCATTGGTAGCTCTTATAGTGGAGAAATATATTTGTCTTGTTAAACAATCAGCAGACAAATATTGGCTGGTAAATCTCAGTTAGTTTTTCTATAGCTATGGACAAATGAAACTTTATTTGTTTATATTTATCTTACTTTTCAGGTTTGCATTTGTTAAAGTTTTAAGGAAATCTTGATAAGATGTTGGGGTAGGGGTAGGCAGGAGGGAAGCATGTCACTTGGATCCATGCTTGAGATCTTGTACTCACACTTTTGGAATTTGTNTTGTATATGTTTCTTGTCTTCCATATGTATTCTCAAAACAAGAAGTACATTTTAACTATCAGTTGCTCTTGTCTTGATAAACAAATAACACTGACATCTGACGGCTAGTATCACGATGCCAGTTTTCCGACTGGTAAAAAAGTTGCCAGGTTAGATTTTAATGAAACTTGATAGTCAATTTTCTCATGCGAAAAGCCACCTTCCATTGACGTGAATAAGTTGCACAGTTTCTGTGGCATGAGATATCGCTATGGCCAAAAAGTGACCATGCAGTTGGCTGACTTCGTCGAGATCTACCTCATTCATTGCTTCTTACTTCTGAATATCTTCCTACGCGCAGCCAGTGTATGACTGGTAAAAAAGTCGAAAACTCGAAAAGTCAAAAACTCTAAAAGTCGCAAACTCGAAAACTCTAAAAGTCGCAAACTCGAAAAGTCGAAAACTCTAAAAGTCGCAAACTCGAAAAGTCGAAAACTCTAAAAGTCGCAAACTCGAAAAGTCGAAAAGTCGAAATATCCAATAGGGGCCACCATAATATTCAGATATTGAAGATTCTAGAACCATTTTTGGGGAATACCTGCTGTCTAGATATTATTACAAAAACCCTATCCCTCAGTTACTGTAACTTTTTGCCTTTATATTGGGCTTTTAGACCCCATTCCCATACCTAGATTGATTGATCTAGCAGGATAGGTCCATCTCCGAGGGGATTCTCGCTAAATTGCTCTGTGGTTAAGCAGCTCAGATGTTTTGCACGACTACTGAAGCTGCTAAATGTTAGTTCATTACCCCCTTACAGCTTCAGTAGGCGTGCCAGAATCCCCTTGGAGATGGACCGATCCCACTAGATCGATCTAAATATAGGAATGGGGTTTAAGACTTATGACATTTTGATTAATGTAATACCTGATATAGTGAAAAAAAATTGTGGACTTACTTGATTTGTACCCATTTCATTAAGTTTTCTGCATGTCAAAAAGTCCATGCCCCTGAATAGTATAAAATAGCAACATTGCAAACTGTGGCATTAAACTGACTTGACAGGTGAGAAAGTTCAGCCTTTAAGATGGTTAAACTTGGTTTTTGTGATAATCACTTGTTTTATGGTGTCAATTACTGAGTTTGTTTGCCCCCTTCCACAGCACAACCAAATGCAGCCCCACTCCTGAAGATACTAGAACTTTGAAGTCCCTTTTCTTGACCTTGGTTATAGGTTCCCTTTGAAATAAATAAATGAACAAATAAATAGATAAATATACAGATGGTTATATGAATGTAAAAGTATATGACTTTACAAATGCTTGAATAGATATAGATAAAACAGAAAATAAACTTTTAATATTTTCAGTAATTTCACAGATATTCCTTAAATGTTTCCATATGTTGGCTTTAGAACTATTGACTGCATTTATGCCTTATGATTACAGTGATTTAATCATTTCTTTCATCATTCATGTTATTCTCTTTCAGTTACATCAGATACTACCAAAGACACAAAATGAAATCTTCCTGTGTTGGAAAATACAAAGATTTCAAAACATGCAATACAGATGTAAATATGATTTTTTACATTACAATGGTGACAGCATTAATTTGTGTGAAAAACTATGAAGTCTGACTTTAACAGTCATAACAGTGTGACATACTAAAACATTCAACTGCAACATTGATAAAGTACAAAATAGTTGTCGAATGCAAATTCTTTATTTAAATATGTGGTATGAAAGTAACTCCTGACATGTTTTTCAGGAATGTCCTAAAAACAGCAAGTCTTTCAGAGCTGAACAATGTGAAAAGTTCAACATTAAAGTTTTCCATGGTCGCAGGAGATATCGATGGGAACCATATTATCAAGGTAGTATATGTGTCTGACTTGTCTTCCTTTTTTCAGAACTCTGAATAAGAAATAGAGAATATTTATGCTTTTAACTGTTGAACTGGTTTCAAAATTATATGTGAGCTTATACTTGGTCAGGTTAGATATGGACAAATAACCATATGAACAGAAATTAATGTATTACCATCTCCTGTGGACACAGTGTTCACATGCTTGATGTCTTGTTGCCAAGGAAGCTAAGAGCTCAGTTTTCATGTCATATTATTATTTTCCTGGAGGCTTTCAACATAGTTGTAAGTATGTTTTATGACCTAGATTATTAGGTTAAGTACACCAGTTCACAGGAAATAGGTTGTTGAATAGTTCATACATGGGTGGAGTAGATCACTAACATGTGATCCCTCCATGTCATACCAAGCATTTCATCTTTAGTAGAAGTACACAGTCAAATTATAGAATTACAATAGGTACCTCCCTTCTTTTAAAATTTACTACCACCCCCTCCTTATTAAACCAGTATGGACCTGTAAAGTAAGCTGCCCTTTAAGTATTAGGTTTTTTACATTGGTCATTACAGTCTTTACCATGTGTGTATTGTGAGTGAGGATGGGTGGGTGGGTGGAAGGGGGGGGGGGAAGCACCATACTTGTGTGTTCTGATACAGCTCTCAAGATAGACTGAGGCTTTAAATGAAGTGATGGTGGGTAGGTGTAGGGTTTTAAGGGAAATGTAGAATCATCATCAGCATCATTAATGTATCCTGCTTCATAGAATTGGCAGTCGATCCTCTCCACGTGTACCTGTATCTGTTATTGGTAGCTCTTATAGTAGAGAAATATATTTGTCTTGTTAAGCAATCAGCAGACAAATATTGGCTGGTAAATCTCAGTTAGTTTTTCTATAGCTATGGACAAATGAAACTTTATTTGTTTATATTTATCTTACTTTTCAGGTTTGCATTTGTTAAAGTTTTAAGGAAATCTTGAGAAGATGTTGGGGTAGGGGAGGCAGGAGGGAAGCATGTCACTTGGCTCCATGCTTGAGATCTTGTACTCGCACTTTTGGAATTTGTTAAGAGTAGCGTAAGCAAGTTCAGCCAGAATATTTGGGACATGGGTCTTAGTATGCCTAGGCAGAGGATGGTTTGATACAGAAGACAATAATTAAGAACATGTGTTGTGAGAGTATATTTAGGTTTTAGTTGAATTTACTTCTGTAAGCCACTCAGGTCAAATGTGATCACTGAAGTGGACATATCTGACATCTGACTTTTTCCACCAGAGCAAACCAAAAGGCAAGAGAATGAATGTCCTGTTCTTTGTAAAACAAATCTATGTGACAGCTCATTTGTTGGAAAAACACAACATGAAAAAGTTAAACTTGGGTCACATGGAAAGTCTGTGTGGCACAACAGTCTAAATGAACCACAAAGTGAATATAAAGGTTTTGAGAGCTTAAAATACAATTACTCTTGATTTGGGAAGAAACTTTAACTGGCCAACTACTCTCTATAATGTTTTAACCTCTTTGAACATATTTGGTCAGGAGAAAAGATACATTATAGTATTTAAAATGCTTATGGGAAAAATAGCTTTTTTGTAAAAAAACTCTTTTATGATTGCATAAAGTTTGTAAATATTGTTGCTCTTTTCTTATAGTTCAGTGAAAAAAGTGATTGTTTCTGCAATAAATTTTGAAGGCTATGGACTGTTATTGATTCATGTGACATTTTAATATTTCTTAAGTCATTAACAAATTTTGATTTCTTTTTTAGAAAAAGATGAATGTTCCTTGACATGCAAGGCAATGGGGTACAATTTTTATGCCAAATTAGCCAGAACAGTGGTGGATGGGACTCCTTGTCGCCAGGACTCCAATGACATCTGCATTAGTGGCAAGTGCATGGTAGGTTGACATTTAATGCATGGCCGGATATTGAGTTAAAATGCTCATGAAAAAGCCCCATCACTATTGAAATTGGCTGTCCCTTCCCTCCTGTATGCAGTGTCTTCATTATTTACACATTTATTTTCTGAATGTTTTATGCATGCCTGCTGCCTTTCATCCATTTGACTCAAATGCTTTTATTACTTGTCCCATCTATAAATATAGGTCTTGAGGTTCCTTTTGGATAATGTGAAATAACGGT